TGTGCGCACCCCGGCGCTCACCAGCGGTGCTGGGGTTGTGCCCCTGCAGGGAGTTTTATCGCCTCGGGCTGCAGTGAACTCCCTGAAGCCCAGTGGGGAGCAGTTCACAGCTTCCATCCTATCGTTTCCGGAGGAGGGGGGGGGCTTAAAAACCGGGGAGCTCCTTAGGAGGGGAATTGGTGGAGCCTCTTTGTGTGCAGAGGGGAGGGAGCCAGGCTCTTTCCCCGCCAGTGGGATGTGGTGGAGGTTTCCATTGGATTTGGCCGATCAGACTGTGTGTTATTATCTGCCCTCGGAAATGGCTAATGTGGAGTCCATTGGAAATGTACCGTCAAAGTTATTTTTGTGCTTGGGCTTTCAGAAGCGCTGTCTGCAAATCTCTGTAAAGGAAATTCCTGGCATTGTATGGGGCTAATCAGAAATACTGCTTCACTGCCAGGTTACGCTGCTCATAGGGTGGCTTTCAGTAGTCCTTCCAGTGCACCCTTAACCTGTTTGCCCATGTAAAAAAAAAAAAAAATCTTGTTCAGGGTAGCAGGTGATTTATTGGGCTTATTGGACAGAAAGCATTAAAAGACATCAGGATGGGGTTCATATTTAAAATTCCTGTATTTAAGATTCCAAGCAGCAAGGTCTATTTTACGCCAAGTGGAATAAAAAATACCCTGTTGGGAGAAGCCAGTTTTTATTCCCCTTGTAGACAGGGACCAGAAAGCTCTGCACTCTCTAGAAAACTTCTTGGATTTTGGAAGAGCTGGCCAGTTTCCTCGAGGTTTAGGGTGTCCAAAGTGTCCTTGTTTGGACCGTGAAGTTCAGTGTGCCGTTGTCCCTTGCTGGGCAAGCAGAGGACAAGATGTTTGCTAACTTCTGGGTCACCTGTGCTCAGCTGTTAGGTGACTATGACAAGGTGAAGGCGGTGTCTGAAGGCTCCGACTGTCGGTGCAAATGCCTTGTCAGGCCCCTGGGCCGTTCAGCCTGCCAAAGGATTAATGAAGGTGCTTTCAAAGCGGAAGATTTTTACACGGTGGAAACCATCACGTCAGGACCCAGCTGCAAGTGTGCATGTGTGGCCCCCCCCTCGGCACTCAACCCTTGCGAGGGGGACTTCAGGCTGAAGAAGCTGCGGGAGGCAGAGAGCAGTGACCTGAAGGTAGGAGAGCACCTTGGATTTGGGACTCTTTTGGGAGGGGAAAATCTTCTGAAGCCTTTTCTTTTTTAAAAAAAAACAACTTTTTTCCTCCTTTTTTTTTTTTTTTTTTTTTGATAAAACATCTCTTAGTTACTTTTATATCTGCATGTTTGATATAAAAATCAAGCTCAGCTTAAGGGATTGATGTGAGCAGCTGCAGATTCATCCCATGCTGCCTGGGGTCCCCTGTGGCTGCCTGTGCTGGAAGCCCAGGAGGGACTGGGTTGCTCCCTGCCCTTTGTCCAGCACTGCATGTCCCTGGGGCACAGCTCTGCTCTGCAGCTGCCAGGTCCGTTTCCGGTTGCAGAGAGGGGCTCCCAAGGACCCATGCAAAAAGCTGTTCTGGCTTCATGGACAGAAAGCTGCTGATGCGTCAGCGTGAGGGTGTGTTACACAGCTGGCTGATGGCAGGATGGGTTTTGTTGTTTCAAATGCTGACACTTCTGTGCTGTTCAGTATTTTGTCTCTTTAGTATCTCCTTCTTTTCCAAATGTGACAGTGTTTGATCTAAGTACTTGTGGCTTTGAGTGGGTGCTTACTTTTGCTGGTCTAGCAGCTGGCAGTAGACCCTGCTGAGTTTTCTAGTTTGTTACCTGCACAGGGCAGCAGAAATCCTCCCCCAAGGGCCACTGCCTTGGTCCAGGCCTGGGGATTTCCCAGAGCAGACAGTTGAGTGATGGGATGTACTCCAGGGCAGTGCTGCTAGTCCCAGCTCAGGTGGGAAGGCAG